AAGTCCTTGAAAATAAAACGTATCTAAATATAATGTGGATAATATAACTGGATTTAAAAGTAGATATAAGTACTGATTGATAATAACATGTCAAACTTATACTCATCAATCATTCTATAAAAATACAATTAGCTTTAGAAATCAGATGGGGTGGCTGCTTTCTTGTACCAAATTCCAATCTCCTTGAATTTATCAAAATTGATCAGGGATCGGTGGATAAGATATATCATTATTTATCAATTGAATTCATAACCCAATAAAAGTCACTTACAATGGATGTATTATCAAAGAAATATCTTATTGAATCCGACTGAAAACAGAACAATCCATAAATTCCCCAAGTTATTCGATTTATTGAAATATCACTGTTATATTTGTGGTGAAAATTAAACCGCTCCTCGGGAATGTCATTTATTTCTGTTTGTGTCAACCTTTTACAAATACTCACTTTATACAGTCCTTTGACAACTGATCTTTGAACAAACAATATCAATATATTAAGTTAAGTAAGAATACTTTGAATGCAGATAAGGATTTCTATCATTCTTCCTGTGCTGTATCCATTAATACGAAAACCTAAAACTCGTAATTGATTACGTCACGACGCAGTGTGTGGTAAGAATATTGTATCATTGACATCGATCCATGGGTAGCCTGTGGATTACACGGTTAAGCTCGGCGGAGACCGTAGTTATTATGGATGATGTAAGCAGATACAACTGCGAGGATCTGTGCAATAAAAAAGGTGGCTTAGTCTATAATTGAGAATTTGTACCGCGCGTATTCTAAACTTCAATAATTCTAATATCATAGAGAAAATATTGGTTTCATATTTAGTGTAGATCACGAGAGTTATAAATATTATTTAAAACACCGAAGAATACGGATATAATCATTGGCACATATAGAAACAGTGAAAAATATAGATATAAACGCTCCTGGATTTTATACAAGATGATCAACGGAAAAACTATTAATTTTTCTTAGTGTTACATTTTTAAAGGAAAAACAAATGACAAAAATCCTATTCAAACTTAAAGCGATGTTAAAAAAGTTAGTGAAATATCAACACCTCCTTTGATGTTGGATTGTTTGGCGCTACGTTTGACAAAACTATGAAAGTTACCTCATCACTGAAAAAACTTACATTATCATCTAAATTCCTATATTTTACTAGCAAAATGTAATTGAACGTTTATTTCTATTATTCCAAATGTCGTCATACCATAGTAACCACTTGTATATAGCTGCCGTGTGTGAATTATTTATATAACATAGTGTCATTATATGTTTTCATCCTTTCACGCACTCCCTTTTCCTTATAAACATGAAAGAATATATTATTGTTAAGTAAAATATTCAAAGAAGAAGAAATCAAAAGAAAAATAATTGCTTAATCATACACAGGGATTTGGCACGAATTCCCAATCCACAGTTAATATATGGACTATAGAATTCGAGCCAAGTTCCTGTAATTCGAGCAAAGTCCCTGTGACATCATTTACAATAAACTGATTTATTATATCTCACATATGAAATTTTATTTTGTACTGAAAATAGTTCTTAGATTTTCAACAAGGACAATAATCTTTTCCACACTAATTCTCTCCCACTACTAACAATGTATGAACAGTCCTAACATTATTTTCTCAATTTACATGAATATGTAGATTCTAATATTTTCGACGCCATGTTTTTTGACTGCATATATTAATCCAGCCAGCATACACCCACATTAACGTTTTGATATTTGTAATTAAACCATCATTTTATATAATTCGTCTGCTGAAATACCTACTGAAACATCCCCGTGCATGTAACAGTCGTGAGTTTACACGGGAGAAACATCTCCGTGTATGTAACAGTCGTGAGTTTACACGGGAGAAATATCCCCGTGGAGGTGACAGTCGTGAGTTTACACGGGAGAAGCATCTCCGTGGAGGTGACAGTCGTGAGTTTACACGGGAGAAACATCGCCGTGCATGTAACAGTCGTGAGTTTACACGGGAGAAACATCCCCGTGTATGTAACAGTCGTGAGTTTACACAGGAGAAACATCTCCGTGGAGGTGACAGTCGTGAGTTTACACGGAAGTAACATCCACGTGCAGGTGACAGTCGTGAGTTTACACGGGAGAAACATCGCCGTGCATTTAACAGTCGTGTGTTTACACGGGAGAAGCATCCCCGTGGAGGTGACAGTCGTGAGTTTACACGGGAGAAACATCTCCGTGGAGGTGACAGTCGTGAGTTTACACGGGAGAAGCATCTCCGTGGAGGTGACAGTCGTGAGTTTACACGGGAGAAACATCGCCGTGCATGTAACAGTCGTGAGTTTACACGGGAGAAACATCCCCGTGTATGTAACAGTCGTGAGTTTACACAGGAGAAACATCCACGTGCAGGTGACAGTCGTGAGTTTACACGGGAGAAACATCGCCGTGCATTTAACAGTCGTGTGTTTACACGGGAGAAGCATCCCCGTGTATGTAACAGTCGTGAGTTTACACGGGAGAAACATCTCCGTGGAGGTGACAGTCGTGAGTTTACACGGGAGAAGCATCTCCGTGGAGGTGACAGTCGTGAGTTTACACGGGAGAAACATCGCCGTGCATGTAACAGTCGTGAGTTTACACGGGAGAAACATCCCCGTGTATGTAACAGTCGTGAGTTTACACAGGAGAAACATCTCCGTGGAGGTGACAGTCGTGAGTTTACACGGAAGAAACATCCCCGTGGAGGTGACAGTCGTGAGTTTACAAAGGAGAAATATCCCCGTGCTGGTGACGGACGTGAGTTTACACGGGAGAAGCATCCCCGTGCATGTGACAGTCGTGAGTTTACACGGGAGAAACATCCCCGTGGGGGTGACAGTCGTGAGTTTACACAGGAGAAATATCCCCGCGCATGTAACAGTCGTGAGTTTACACGGGAGAAACATCCCCGTGGAGGTGACAGTCGTGAGCTTACACGGGAGAAACATCCACGTGCAGGTGACAGTCGTGAGTTTACACGGGAGAAACATCGCCGTGCAGGTGACAGTCGTGAGTTTAAACGGGAGTAACATCGCCGTGCATGTAACAGTCGTGAGTTTACACGGGAGAAACATCGCCGTGCAGGTGACAGTCGTGAGTTTAAACGGGAGTAACATCGCCGTGCATGTAACAGTCGTGAGTTTACACGGGAGAAACATCCCCGTGGAGGTGACAGTCGTGAGTTTACACGGGAGAAACATCCCCGTGGAGGTGACAGTCGTAAATTTATTGGGAGCAACATCCCCTTGCTGGTGACAGTCGTGAGTTTACACGGTAGAAACATCTCCGTGCATGTGACAGTCGTGAGTTTACACGGGAGAAACATCCCCGTGGGGGTGACAGTCGTGAGTTTACACAGGAGAAATATCCCCGCGCATGTAACAGTCGTGAGTTTACACGGGAGAAACATCCCCGTGGAGGTGACAGTCGTGAGCTTACACGGGAGTAACATCCACGTGCAGGTGACAGTCGTGAGTTTACACGGGAGAAACATCGCCGTGCAGGTGACAGTCGTGAGTTTAAACGGGAGTAACATCGCCGTGCATGTAACAGTCGTGAGTTTACACGGGAGAAACATCGCCGTGCAGGTGACAGTCGTGAGTTTAAACGGGAGTAACATCGCCGTGCATGTAACAGTCGTGAGTTTACACGGGAGAAACATCCCCGTGGAGGTGACAGTCGTGAGTTTACACGGGAGAAACATCCCCGTGGAGGTGACAGTCGTAAATTTATTTATTGGGAGCAACATCCCCTTGCTGGTGACAGTCGTGAGTTTACACGGTAGAAACATCTCCGTGCATGTGACAGTCGTGAGTTTACACGGGAGAAACATCCCCGTGGAGGTGACAGTCGTGAGTTTACACGGGAGAAACATCCCCGTGGAGGTGACAGTCGTAAATTTATTGGGAGCAACATCCCCTTGCTGGTGACAGTCGTGAGTTTACACGGTAGAAACATCTCCGTGCATGTGACAGTCGTGAGTTTACACGGGAGAAACATCCCCGTGTATGTAACAGTCGTGAGTTTACACGGGAGTAACATCCACGTGCAGGTGACAGTCGTGAGTTTACACGGGAGAAACATCGCCGTGCAGGTGACAGTCGTGAGTTTAAACGGGAGTAACATCGCCGTGCATGTAACAGTCGTGAGTTTACACGGGAGAAACATCTCCGTGTATGTAACAGTCGTGAGTTTACACGGGAGAAACATCCCCGTGTATGTAACAGTCGTGAGTTTACACGGGAGAAACATCCCCGTGGAGGTGACAGTCGTAAATTTATTGGGAGCAACATTCCCTTGCTGGTGACAGTCGTGAGTTTACACGGTAGAAACATCTCCGTGCATGTGACAGTCGTGAGTTTACACGGGAGAAACATCCCCGTGCATGTAACTACTGAATTATGGGGCCTGTGCACCTCCCTCTGAGATAGATGTTGACATTTTCCCCAGTCGGTCTTTAGCTTGATAATTTAGGCCGTAATCATCACTGACGAGTCATCGTATAACTAAATTGCTGTATGAGGTAGTTCAATTTGTTGTTTGGCTCTGCTGTATCTAATTCTAAATTGTATGAGTGTTTTATAAATCTTATGGCGATATCGGTTTGCACCCAAGACCAATAAAATCCCGATTAGAAAGCCAGAACCGTTAGAACTAACAATATACGTGGAACTCTAGTCTTCAACAACTTTAAGACAAGAGTCGAAAGTCGGTATCTTCACGAGCAGATTTTTTAATGAACTCATCGTCTCTGACATAAAGAAATAACACTTTTTAAAAGCCAAAAGCAAGAACGAATACTTTACCACGCCGACTGTTAGTTATATTTGGTATAAATGGCTACGTTGAAAATGACATTATATTAACCCCAAGATGACGAAAGCAACAGTCAGCTTATAGCTATCATACTAGTTTCTGATATGTTCAGCAGGTCAGAAGCGGGATTTACAAACTGTCTAACTAATGTATGTTTATTATCTACCAATCAAAATGCTTCATTTTGGGAACCCCGTTATTGACATCCGGGCATTTACAAGGCGGTCGGTTCGTCTCGAAGATCAACAAAACAGACATGGTATGATTTCACGTGTTTAATCCGACATAATTATTCGTGAATTAGTGACACTTCCTTGTAATTTATGTTCATAATTTCACATTTATCACATTCACCATGTTTTATACCACCACAGCTTCCATTTAATTGCGATTGTTAAGTCAATCTGGTGGAAATTACTATTTTCGTTGTTAACTTGGTGCAAGATTCTGCATGTTTCGCGATCTCATATATGTAATGTTGACATTTCAGTGGCAAATTTTCAGATCGGAGTACATATTTGATTTGGCAACATTCGAAGTTTTTGAATACATATTACACTACATGAATCCAAAATAACTATGAACTTTAATTGTGTTGCATTTGATCAGACATCAAATTCAATGATTCCCACAAAAAATTTCAACGAATTTCCTTTCATTGCTTGTATTTTGAAATATGTCACATTTAACTGATATTTAACCCACTGAATGAAGCCATGAATCAAAGCTGTCAGTACAATTCATTTAGACATCCATGTTCTTCCTCTACATATATTGATATACCTTCACCTGTACCTCTCCCTTGGTCACAACATTCATCAGATCTTTTAACTTGACATATAACAATATCATAATGAACGATCTGCCGAGGCCTTGAACCTCAGGCTTGTATGCTAGATATGAAGCTGAGAGATCAGAGTTTGACACAGCGTTGTATATGTTGTTTATTTTTGTGCATCATGGTCGTTGAAGTCAAATCTAAAATAAGGGGGGCACCATAGCTAAACTTCAATCAGCAGAAAGTCAGGGGTGTGTCGATTGATCTCTGTCTTGTGTCAAGAACACTTAGTATTTCTCTAGAAGATGAAATCAAGAGCAGTTTATGCGGTTTTGTACTTTTCCTTGAACAAAGCATTTGACCCCAATTTCTTTGGGTAGCTGTGGTGTATCTTCCACATGATGTTCAGTAAAACAGCTAAATAGCCACCAGCGACTGAAAGGAGACACCCTACACCTCAAAATGGGCTTAGTTGTTCAAAGGTCTAAAGTGATATACTCACAAACAAATATCCAAAACATTTCCTGTACCCTATGAAATGTATATATGTCAATGATGTCATTACTGATTAACATTCATACAGTGTCTTCAAAGAGAAAGTATTAAGATAGATGTGTCGTTAAATATACTGTACATATATATCAGCAAAGGTATAAGGAAGTGCGCCAATGCTGTGGTTATCCTAGGGCAGATCAAGGTGTGCTATACTCTTTTGACTGGATATTCCGAGCATCCATCTGAGTTGGAGTATTCCAGCATCCATCTGAGTTGGAGTATTCCAGCTTCCATCTGAGTTGGAGTATTCCAGCTTCCTTCAGAGTTGGAGTATTCCAGCTTCCTTTAGAGTTGGAGTATTCCAGCTTCCATCTGAGTTGGAGTATTCCAGCTTCCTTTAGAGTTGGAGTATTCCAGCTTCCTTTAGAGTTGGAGTATTCCAGCTTCCATCTGAGTTGGAGTATTCCAGCTTCCTTTAGAGTTGGAGTATTCCAGCTTCCTTTAGAGTTGGAGTATTCCAGCTTCCATCTGAGTTGGAGTATTCCAGCTTCCTTCAGAGTTTGAAAATTTAAGCTTCCTTTCAAGTTTGAGTATTCAAGCTTCTTTCTGAGTGTGAGTGTTTAAACTTTGAATCTGTTGCAGTTGTTTTACCCAGAATTGTTTTATATTCACAAGTATCAATCTTGACCACCAATAATTCTTTGTCATGTAACATCCAATGAGGTATGGAAAGTTTAAACATATTCTTGTCAGTCCGCTTTAATTAGCTGTTTAAATATTCAGGTTTTATTCAAACTTTTTATAGATTTATAAGTGAAGAAACTTGCTGATCATAATTTGTTCCTGGGAAACTCATGAAACAATAAATTAGATTTTCTGTTTAATATGCATCAAGTGATCAATTAGTGAGGTTTCTATCCGAAATGAATTATTCTCTTGTGTTGATATTTTATCATCAAATGTTTTCAAACTTAATTGAAATTTGAATATCTTTGGTTGTCTTCTAGTTATAAAAACACTATTCCTTCCTTGAACAAGTTTTAGAGTGGATCTTGTTTTGTTTACTTCTCAGTATGTGAATCAGTTGTTTTTTGTTACAGGTACCTGAATTGGTGTATTTTAAGGGGAGATACTTTGTATATAAATTTGATATATTTTCCCACTTTGTAGGCAAGTTACGGGGGCAAAAAGAATGCACTGGCAGGGAGGGGCATGAAGAAAGGTGGCCCAAAACCAGAACTTACAGAAGAGCAGAAACAGGAAATCCGGGAGGCATTTGATTTGTTTGATACAGATGGTTCAGGAACTATTGATGCAAAAGAACTCAAAGTATGTTTATAATAACAATACTCTGAAAATATTGATAGTTGAAAATAAACAGAAATAATGGTACTGTAACATTGTATGAAAATGACTGAGCAAATTAATTATCAATGGGATGATATAACCAGATTTGTAATGGAACAATAATAATTATTGATTTAGAATAACAGGTTATCTTGGTTAAAAAATAATCTGCACTCTCCCTGTTGGCTAGTAATGATGATAGAAAAAAAATAAAGGAAAAAACCAAATATGGAAAATATATGTGTATATAGACATAGATTATTTGCTCAATGCTAAAGGACAAAAATGTTTACAAAGGTAAAATATTTGTGTTATACCTGGTAAAATTATAGATTACATTTAGATTTTTTTGAAATTACGTAAACCAAAAAAATATGTTTTATGTTATCAGAGCCTACACTTCACACTCACAATATTTGTGAGTATTTTCTGGTATTCTACAGGTTGAAGTTTAAACTTTCACTGTACAAGGAGATACACACAATTACAAAGTTATCAGAATTATCTGTATTAAGTTAAACATCTCTCTGTTTTACAGGTGGCGATGAGAGCATTAGGTTTTGAGCCAAAGAAAGAGGAAATCAAAAAGATGATTTCAGATATAGACAGAGAAGGCACAGGTATGTATATAATGATAAAAGCTATTGTGAAAAGCTGGTTTACAGGGAAGATGTTATATGTATATATATATATAAATTGCTTGTAAAATCAAAATATGAAAAGTAACTAAAAACAAGAACCAACATCCATTCAGTGTAGATAAGGAAAAAAATCAGCTTCTCGGTTCCAGAAGGATACCAGAAAGTATGTAGGATTTCTTGGAATTCAGAGCAACAGTAGAGATGGCTTTATATTGTAATAAGTAATAAAATTTTATATTTAAACATATTTCATTTCAAAAATTTATTTTAATACATGTATAACTTTGTACAACTCCCATCTGTATATATCAAAATAGGTACCATTGACTTCAACGAGTTTCTGATGTTGATGACGCAGAAGATGAGTGAAAAAGATGTAAAAGAAGAAATTCTTAAGGCATTCAGACTGTTTGATGATGACGATACTGGTAAAATCTCATTCAAAAATCTCAAGCGTGTCGCCAAAGAACTAGGAGAGAGTTTAACAGATGAGGAGCTACAAGTAAGTTTATCTAGCTTCGTGGTGGCAATTCCTGGCAACTATTGGGTGTGAAGAGGATGGGGTGGGGGGGCAGTTTAATAAGTACATTGGTAATGGTTGCCATTTGAATGGTGACAAAATCTAATGTATTTTTTTTCTGATATATAAAATAAGGTGTTATGTGATTTATAATTCAAATCATTAGCTCTTCTTGTTATGAGGTGTTAAGTATTTTTCTACATTTAACTTGCTAGTTATGCAGTGTTACCAGGGTATTTGTGGTAGCCAGTTGCCATGGTAATAACACAACTGCAGTAGCATTACATTGACATAATGGTAGAAGTGCTTGGGTAACTCATACATTGGGATAAAATTTCAATAGCTGACTGAAATCAAATTTATGTTGAAAAGAGAAAATTTGAGAGAAAAAATATCAATATACATTTTTATTTGTGATACAAATGAACTCTGTTATCATATAGGTTCACTTGTTGTAAATTTAGGACTTTTACAAATGTTTTTCAGGAAATGATTGATGAGGCAGATCGTGATGGCGATGGTGAAATTAATGAAACAGAATTCTTGAAAATCATGAAGAAAACAAGTTTGTACTAGTAATTTAAAAAACTTTATATTTATAAAGACATTCCATTGTATTCATCTGCAGAAAGTGCGAGAAACTGGGACCAAGAGGGAGAGAAACCAAACAAAAACATTCAGAATATGTGGCCAAACTTACATGTCTGTTTTGAGACTGTTATGTGTAGCTGTTTGTTACATTTCGTTTCTTGGTTCAGAGTGTCAAGTGTCACGTCATTTCTCCAGGAGGTTGACTAGCTGCCAGTGTCTATTATAAAACTTCTCATTGAAGAAATGATACTTCTGTAAGTGTTGTGGACAAGGGGAGGCTACTCAGAATTATTTACAATTTTTGGCCAATTTTCCAAACTAGTGTCAGAAAGTCTTTTCTGGCAAAATATGATGTTAGAAATTAATGAAATTAAGAAATTAAAGATTTCTGAAAAAATTTAAGAAAACAATTTTCTGAAAAAGGATTAACTGCTCCATTCTCTCTTGTTTGTCAAGAGTTCAAAATAAATAATTCAAAAAATATATTACACACTTCATTCCATGTGGAAAGAAATATAATTAAAAAAAAATGGGTTGTTCATCAATGCTGTTCGAAGTCTCACCATCTGATCTGTTTATTGTTTATAAACAACAATTCAACCATTTATTTTGTAAATAAATATGAATATATATTAAAATTGATGCTATTGATTATATTTACTCTATTTTTTTCCCTCGTTTTTGTCCTCCATGTTCCTACATTATCATCCAACCATGTTTCATATAATATGGTTTTAAAGTCCATCTTTACAAGAATATCTTCTTTCCTCTTAATCAGATCTGTATATACTTCTGCATTCTGGTTGCTTGCAGAAAAATGGAAAAATATTACAAAGGCAATAATTATAATAAAACAAATTAATTTATTAATTTTATTGTATGACATCATGAAATAATCAACAATCAACAAAAAAAGAACAAAATCCAATTAGATACATTTACAGCAAAACAACTAATGAATCGTCAATGTATGACTTATTTAAAAGTATCTGCAATTATGTATATAATTCTTTGTTTGCTAAACAAAATAGAAAATTTAAAAAATCATGGTACCTCTATACTCAAATCAGCACACAAGTGTAAAAGAATCGTACAAAAAAAATCACAGCATTGTTTGATTTAATCATGGTAGTATCATACTACAGTATTTATAGAACACGACATGATTAACATAATTTTGAACACAACATCACATGACAACACCTGTGTCAATCACCTTAATCACACACATATCCAGAATTTATGACAATGATACAACAAACAAACATTTACCGTGACAAATGGGACTATGATTGATTCATCCTAGCAATGACTTTATAACCATGGCAACTGGATACTATAGATTGTAATTACCACTGAAATCACGGTTTTCCTGGATACAGCAACTTGAGCCAAGGCTAAACTGACATTGAGAATTTCAGCAACAAGTATGATGGCTGGTGACGAGAAATGATATATAAATATTATCTGATAAAATTAATTAGAAATATCAAAAGATTACAAGTATGGAAGGAATGATACCATTTTAAAATTATATATATACATCATATCACCTTGGTAAATCAGTCATTAAATATGTAGAATATATCACAGGACTTGATTTTGTTAGGAATATATTAAAAGGACATCATGTTAAAAATATCTCCATTTACAGCATATGATACACTGATATTCACAGTCCAGCTTGACCACTTCTCTGGTTGGGAAACACCTTTCAAATTTAGCGCCGATAATCTTATGTAATAGTTTTGAAAAGGAGGCAGTTAATTTTGTAAACACATGATTGGCAGGAATGACACAGGCTGTAGTAATACAGTAAGTAAAATCCCATTCTCCAGTACCAGATTTTGTTACAGATATAAATATATACTTTATTTATTTATTTTATGAAACAAGCTATCAGTTTATATTGATCACTCTTGTTGGCTGGGATGGAAGCATGCAGGGGGTCTTCATGTGGGAAGAAACAGGAGTACCTGGGAAAAAACCCACATGTTTGGGTAGATGACCCTTACAGTTAGGTGGAAGGCGAGTATGTTACCACTGCGCCACTCAACTACCCATGTCAGGATGTAGTAATATGAACTGCCTACATTGCTGTGACTGATTCAGGCAGGAAGCCATTTTGTTTACAAGCGTTGGTGTTTCACATACCCAGTCTGTTGATCAGCAGATAAGGATTTATTTTTTTTATTATATTCATTAATTAACTTTTAAATGAGGTGATACACTTGATATATATATATATATATATATATATATATATACAATAATAAAAGAAATCATTAAAAGAACAATTGTTTTACTGTGATGTTGCTTTAAGTTTGAATCAAAATCATCAACATATAGGTTACATGTATGGCACCAGGCTATAGATAAGGAGATATTATTAATTAATAAAAAATAAATGCGGGTGGTCGGGTGGCGCAGTGTTAACGCACTCGCCTTTCACCTAGCCGACCGGGGTTCGATTCCCGGAACGGACGTGAAAAGGTAAGGGGTCACCTGTCCGACCGCGTGGGTTTTCCCCGGGTACTCCGGTTTCCTCCCACAATAAGGCCCCTCGCGCGCTTACATCCGGGCCAACAAGAGTGATTAGTATAAGTTTAAATAACTTGTTTCGCAATTGTTGTAAAACAAATAAAGTTTATATTTATAAAAAATAAATCAGGTTTGGTTTGAGAAATTTTCTTTTTGTGTTTAATACGAACACTACCTGATTACATGTTACTCGGTTAACTATGTTTAATACTGTTAAATATTGCTTCACCGTTAATTTTGAGAAAACACAGTACAACTCTGCATAACAAACCTCTTTTATATAAAAACAGCCACTAGTAGAATGTTCCTGTAAACTTTCAGGTTTCTGGGTATTAAAATAAAAATAGAAATTCAGGTGAATATGTTATACATGTAATTTTCAATCTGATGTAGGGGAAAAATAGTTATTCTAGATAACAAGATTTTTCATGTAAAATGATAAATGGCATGAATGTGTTATTTCATCATTGAATATATATGTTGAAGCAACACAACACAAAAAAACATAACTTGTTACATGTTTACTTTTTTCTCAGGCTTGAAAATATTTACTTTAAACCTGAAAAATTACAGGAACTGAAATAGGCTTTGGTTTATTTGTGACCCCATCAATGCAACACAGGAGGGGAAGGCCTTGTCAGATATAGGCAGATATAGCCAAGCAATGTATTGTTCAATATCGGTTGAAAAGCAACAACACAAATTTAAACTGTTCAGCACGTCGTCCATTTCCCCTCCATGAGCAAATTAGTATAACCAGGTCATTTAATACTCAGGCCATTAATAGTGTTCTGAAATTCAAGGACATTTGCATGGTACCTGACTTTCTCTGCTGATACCACAGGAATGAAATGATACGACAACATACAGAACCTAAGAACCTGGTCTGGATGAACAGAAAATTTATAAACTCACAGATTTCCAAATTTTGTTCTCCAGTATGCCTCGTCCTGTTGCCAAATGCTATGTGGTTTCTGGTAGTACCCACCACCAGGAAGTGGAACCTGGTTGTAAGTGAGTCCCACAAATGGCTTCTTCATGTGTAACAGCCAGTAGGCACTATTGTAGTAAAGGTAGAATTTGTCTTTATCAAAAATATACAACAGGGCATCTAGCAAATTTAACACCATTCTAGCATCAGAGACATTTTTCTGGAAATCCTTGTAAAAATTCAGCATGTCTTTCGCCAGTGACACATTGCCTTTCTTTCCAAAAATTTCCGTTTCGTTGCCGAGGTATATTGGTTGTTCGGCATACAGATGTATCCGCGTGTAGTTAAGTTTAACACTTTGATCAAACTTTGCTCCTACTACACTGAGCTGCTGAAAAGCTCTTAGGACCCAACTTGCACAGTCAAATGCATCAAACCACATCTTGCCTCCTGAAATGTAAGAGCAGCAGAGAAATTTAAAATATCATAATGTGTAACATAAAACCAAAACTTGTCAATTTAAAGTGAAACACTTTAAAATATAGTCTCATATAGGTAATTCAGTAAGACTTTCGTAACTTGTTTACAATACAGAGTAAACTTTAACACCTGTATTACACTTGACTGGAAATTCTTAGGGGAGATTTCAAGAAAAATGTTTTTATAAGGATTTGTAAATATGTATCATAACACAAAATCATAATTGGTAACTACATGATGTTTTAATTCAAGTTTAATCTTACCAGGTTCATTTTCTACAGTCCAAGTTTCATAGAAGATCCCAGTCTGGTTATCCTTTAACACCCAATCAGAGAATGTATTGAACTGGGCCCCTGTAGTAGATGCAGAATACCACGGTGTACATTCTTATGGGTAACAGTGATTACAGGATTCAAACCAACAGGATTTGACATGACCAGATTATCAAATATGGTAGCGTGATAGGGTTGACCAATATTATTTGATAATAATTAGTCTTGCCATCAGTGGACGAATGCTTGATAAATCAATTTTAATTGTATAACATCATCAATCATCTTGTCTTGGTGAAATAATTATTATATTCATTATATACTCAACAAAAAAAGAAAGGTTAACATGTTTCCTTGGCGAATACCTGTAAATGAGTGAAAACAAAATGACGTTTGTGCAATATTAAAAAATGGTAATGTTTTACATTACAAAATCCAAGGGGGTTACCAAAATCATTCAAGCGTGAAAGTCTGTATTAGCGAAAGAGCTGCACGAGGTTTTCTGCGACTAACTTGTATCTTCGCTTGAATTTCATAAACATTCAAACTTACAACTGTTCCTTAGATCCTTAGGACTTAGAAATCACCGAATCTTGCTATCTTTCAACTTTATCATTATGCCCCGGCTGTCACAAGTACAGAGAGAAAGGGCTGTAAGCATGATCCAGGCTGGGGAGTCTCGCCGTCGAGTTGCATGGCATTTTGGTTGCAGTGTTAAGACATTTTGCCAGATGGTAAGTCGTTTAAACCAAACTGGGTCAACATCTGATCATCCCTGAAGTGGCCGACCCCGTAAAACGACCGCCAGGGATGACCGTCGTATACGATTGATACATTTGTGCAATCGATTCGTAACCGCAGTAGAGACTACAAGGACATTGTTTGGGCGTCGTGTGTCTCCACAAACAGTCCGCAACAGGTTGAGGGCCTACCAATTGAAAGCGCGGCGTCCCTACAATGGACCCAATTTGTTGCGACGTCACCGTAATAATTGGCGTAACTGGACCCGTGTTCACCGTCATTGGGCCCTACGACAATGGAACAATTTCTGTTTTCAGATGAGTCCAGGTTTTGTCTGCAACACAGTGACAGAAGGCGCAGAGTGTGAAGGCGATGAGGGGAGCGTTTTGCGAACTGCTGCATTGCAGAACCGGAACACTTTGGCGGCGGAAGTGTAATGGTTTGGGGTGGTATTTGTAGGGGGACTCGTACCAGTCTTGTTGTGTTAAATGGCAATTTAACCGGCATTCGATATCGGGATGAAATTTTAAGACCAGTGGTTCTGCCATTCTTAAGATGCCATGACGTTGGCGCCATTTTGCAACAGGATAACGCACCAGCGCACACCAGTCGCGTCAGCAGAACTTCCTTGCAGCAGAATAACGTACAGGTGTTAGATTGGCCATCTAAATCACTTGATTTGTCACCGATTGAGCATGTCTGGGACCTTCTTGGGCGGTGCGTGAGAGAACGTCAAAATCAGCCGTCAAACTTGCAGGAGCTGGCCCAAGCCTTGATCGCTGAATGGAATAACATCTCTCCTCGAATTATCTGCCGGTTTACGAGTTCCATGCGACGACGCTGCAATACTGTTTACTTCGCAAACGGTGGCCATACCCGTTACTAATGGTGTTACCTTTGAAATTGACCCCAACGTCCTTTACAGTCGAACAAAATCAACTGAACGCAAAGTTTTATAATGAACCATGACTGCAGTTTTATCAGAATTGATCAATTACTTTATTCGTACATGATTGGTAAGGATTTATGAAGGGGTTAATTAATTAATCACAGATTAAAGTAGTGTTACCTTTCTTTTTTTGTTTAGTATATATGTCAAAAAATATTTCAGTTTCTATGATTTTGACAGCAAACATTATACTGCATGTTTACCTTTTGACCCAGTTCATACCTGTCATCGTGGCAACCTTCTTCAGAGTACCGTTCTGTCTCCATAATTTATCTTCTATACCGTTGTAGATACAGGTTGCCCCCTGGTTACACCAATAGAGAGTGTTGTTTTGTAGAAGGTGAGGGAATGTACAGTTAAACAGCTGGAATAGTTCATACCATTCCATGGTGTAATTCTGTCCAGTCTTTAGATTCTTGATACCAAGAGCATCATGAATGATGTGCTATAAACATGAAGATTTCTGTTAGATTTTCTATGTACAGAATGGCATATGTGCTGTAATCTTGTTGAAATATTCTGGTATTACTGGAAAGGTTTAGTCATAAGGAACACATGTGCCAAATATGAAAGCTCTACCTCTTACGATGCAACAGTTATGGGCAAAGTTTAAGATGACAACAGATAAACAGAAAGCACAACATGCCCCCGATCTTTTGATCAGCAGGCAAAAAAATCCTGAAGATCATCATTGTAATACCAGTGTACTGATAGGTCAAGGTTATGTGTTTTCTTTCAAACATGGTACACGTCAGTAAAATTTACAAATCTCCCCAGTAAATCTCCAAACATGGTACACGTCAGTAAAACTTACAAATCTCCCCAGTAAATCTCCAAACATGGTACACGTCAGTAAAACTTACAAATCTCCCCAGTAAATCTCCAAACATGGTACACGTCAGTAAAACTTACAAATCTCCCCAGTAAATCTCCAAACATGGTACATGTCAGTAAAACTTACAAATCTCCCCAGTAAATCTCCAAACATGGTGCACCTCAGTAAAACTTACAAATCTCCCCAGTAAATCTCCAAACATGGTACACCTCAGTAAAACTTACAAATCTCCCCAGTAAATCTCCAAACATGGTGCACCTCAGTAAAACTTACAAATCTCCCCAGTAAATCTCCAAACATGGTGCACCTCAGTAAAACTTACAAATCTCCCCAGTAAATCTCCAAACATGGTACACCTCAGTAAAACTTACAAATCTCCCCAGTAAATCTCCGAACATGGTACACGTCAGTAAAACTTACAAATCTCCCCAGTAAATCTCCAAACTTGAACTGCCACACAGGTTTCTTTAGAGCATATATTTCCACTGGGTCTGTTGGATTGAACAATGGCATAGAATTCTCTACCTCTCCAGCAGGGCAGAATGGAATCACACCAGCTTTACAATAAGGGTTAGCTTTAGGGCGGTGATCATGCCTCCTGAAAATCACAAGTCAATTATTAAATAGTTATAATTATAATATTTATCTATAGCTATCCATCAGTCAGCCAACCCTAACCTTTAGGTCACAATTTGTACTGCCCCTCACCCCTTCACACATGGAGTTTTTGCAGGATACACAGTAGTATTTCAAGATTGAATTTTTCAATATGCATTAAAATGTACTGCCAAAGTTTTTAACTGTTGAAATGAATCATGTGTAGAAATTGAGACTACAGGCACTTACTAGTAACAAGAAGTGGGGATTTCCCACTGAACCTAGTTGTAAGATGTGGACTTAGAAAGTGAGAGGCCACTTGTTCGAGTTGCAGGGGCCATGGTGGCAGAGTGGTTAAGGCCTCTGATCATCTTAATCACTAGCCCTCCACCCCTGGGTTAGGGATTTTAGGCCTACGTGGGGCAGTTGCCAGGTACTTCCTATCACAGATATACTTAATACATTTGACTTTAATGTATACCAAGTTTTTGCTATAGAAGATTAATATACTTCATCAGATCTAAAGAACATGGTATATGGTTGTGTTAACAGTAAATACTTTGTAAATGAAAGAATGGTATTGAGAGTACATGCAAAGTTACTACTTATAATCCTAACAAGTACCCTTGGATATATTCAGTAATGAAGCTTCTATCACTTGGCTGGGGAGACTATTCCAGGTATCCACCACTTTGGTGCTAAATTTGTTGATAGTTCTGTCTGGTGAATAGACAGATGTTTGAAGAGGATCTTTTTCTGCTTGTGGAATCTGTATGATAGGTGGACATATTTTCATTACCTGAGATTACCCCCCCCCCCCCCCCCACACACACACTATATTATATCTTATTCCTTAATATTTGATTGACAGTAGCTAGGTATTTAACCATCAGGTGAAAGATAAGTACTTCACTCATTTGAAAAATCTAGGCTTTCTTGTCATGACATCTTCTGTTGTTGTCTGGTGGTTGGGAGATCAGATGTGGAAACCTCATACAGATGCTTATTCAAAATGTGTTACCAGTCATTGGTAGTTTGACACTCCCTTCCTGCAGCCATTTGTGTTTCTCTAGAAGCTGAGCTTGTCTCTGCTTAAGTGGCTGTGTCCTTTTGCATGACAGTTTACCTAATTGCTCTGGTGTTTAGTCAGGTAGCTACCAACTATTATAGGAAGACTACACGTCAAAATGACCTTTGTTGTTCATGGGTTAGTAAACCCAACAAAACAAACAAATCAAGTCATTTGTATAACATCAAAAACACTCTGTTATCTAATCATGAAGTTCTATATCTGAAAGATGTTTCTGAGCTTCCAATTTAATTTTGCAACAGCTTTGATGAGCACAAAACAAATCTGTAGCAAAATCAAATTGATGTTCACTTTCTCAGGAGGTACATTAACAATCCAGTACTTAGAACCCCCCAACCCTAAGACTAACATTTGATTTAACACAGCTCTCATGATGCAATATAATCCAGACTAACATTTGATTTAACACAGCTCTCATGATGCAATATAATCCAGACTAACATTTGATTTAACACAGCTCTCATGATGCAATATAATCCAGACTAACATTTGATTTAGCACAGCTCTCATGATGCAATATAATCCAGACTAACATTTGATTTAACACAGCTCTCATGATACAATATAAACAAGAAGTCATCTTGTCAAGTGCAAAGTTTAATAAAAAAAAAATCAGAATGATGGACATTTCTACTGACTATTAATTTCGTTAAGACAGAATTAAGGAGATATATGCTTATTCGTAAAAGCTGCGTGATAACAGCTATTTCTACACTAGTTTCCTCTTGGAGTAAGATCCTAAAGACATTTTGATGACTATAAGTGTTTGTCTATTGTCTGGTGTATGGGCCTACCGGTTTTAATGTAGTACAGTACAGGCAAGTAATACAAACGCAAGTATAGACAGGTAATGTATATTTGTGTCATATCATTCATTATTACCACAGTTCAAAACTGCAGGTTCGATGGCAGTAGCTTATATACAGGGATATTTTGTTTCTGTTTCCATGTCTCGCCTGCACAACCACTGAGAAATAGTGATTACTGTAACAGTAGCAAACCGGCAATTTTAACCTGAAATGCTTAAAGTTCAACATATGTAAACAATCGCACATAGCGAATAGGTCATATGAGTATACCAACCTGTATGGAATTGGCCATGTAATCGAAGTGACAGCATTTATACAGCAAAATAATAAAATCAGCGATGTAGAAAAGAAACCGAAACTTGTGTCCGCCATGATGTATGTCATGTGATAACATATGTAAGAAATCACGTGATATATAGAAAAGAAACATGGCAGCTCCCAGCGGTTAGACGTAAGTGTGATAACGAAAGATAACAATTCTTCAGATAACTGCCTGTGCGCAAGAGCATTATTCTACACTTTACAGAAATATGTTATCGCTTATCTGTATTTCTTTCGCGAGGTCCTGACATTAACATGTAGAAGCCATGTCACTTCATTGTCTATCAGCTTAATTTTGGCTATTATGCTACGTTTTAGCTTACCGTTACCAAATGGTAGGCTATTCAAATCGCCGTTTCTGTGGCCCGTTCTTCCTACTGTCCACCAGTCCTTACATGAACAATAACTGCTATCGCAATTTCTTGATAATTAAGTACCGGCAGGATATTTCACAAACTGCATGTGTAGGTCCCCACTAGGCCTTCAGACAGAAAATTTCTGTCTCAAAAATGAAAATTTAATGGCAATATTAACATTAATAAAAGTAGCAGAAACACATCCATCATCAATGGGATGAATTAAACAATTTCTAGTTGTGCCCATTGGGTTTTCAACCCGATGAAGAATACAATATGGCCGCAACATTGCCGACAGTCAGCCATCTAGGATTTTCACAGTTGGGATCTGTTATTGTTATTTTTTGGTGAAGTACTGGAAAGATATATTTCAAACTTATGTAGATTCCACTTGGTCCCTATTTGTTTTGATGTTCTAATAACAATCATATATATGTCTTTAGTCAATGAATGTAAGAACTCTGTCCCTGTAAAAAGTGAGGGAAATAAGTGACATCTGGTTGGCATTCAGATGATAATTTTGGAAAGATATTGTTCTAATGTTCATTGAGATCCAGGCCAATTTATAAAAGTTGATAGAATAATTAAGAATTTCAAGTAACTATCTTGAATTTGGCTTTTAAAGACTATTATTGCTCTTTTTTAAGAGGAATTTTCAAGTTTCATGTAATTTACAGAAAATCAGAGGAAAGAATAATAATAATAATAATAAAAGAAGAATAAGATATAATAGATTTTTTATTTATTGCCTGTCTTTATCACAAAATGTTACTGAAAACTGAACACTTCAGATAATCAAATTGTATTTAATTACCAGAAGTATATATCATCACATGTCGTGTTCACACAGCGGGTTATATTTTTCACTTTTTTTTTTACTTTTCAAGCTCTGGTAAAATGATATTATTTCTTCACTTGTGTACTGCTTCCATTTCTCTGACAATATATAAAGATATTGGAAGGGATTTAAATTTTTCCAGTCTGCAATTTTAATTAAAAAACTCTCATCATTACAGAGTATTAATCAGGCACCTGTGTCGCCCAGAGCTGCGGTCTTATTGCACTGATATCTTACATTACCTATTGATTTATATCTTCAAGCTCTACAAAGTTCTTTAAAATCTACATTTAGAGTATGTCATTCTGTTTTTGAAAAAGAAAAACCAACATCTGTCTTAAAATATATTCTATTAAATTGACCTGATTATATTTTTATATTTTTTTCTCTTAATTGATATAAATTCAGATAAAATTACTAAAAGATAAGTTTGAGACAAGTAGATTGGTTGCAACCTTACTGAATCCTGCATGTACCTATAAACATGTAATGTATTATGGAATTTAATTCTTCATTTGATCAGTTTATCTAAATTATCTTGTTTTCAGTTTGTTTTTATGGTAGACAGCGTAAGAGATGGACACAGACAGAATCCTTGGTGTTGGACAGGTAATTATATGATAGTGAAATTTGATCCCTTTATTAAACGTTACAGGCACATGCTATTATCTTGTCAATTAATTGTACTCTTGTTTATAATTTCTTCAATTTATATATTATATGTAACCAGAGTTTTGATGTACTGTTAACTTTTCTATATCAGTCTGAAGTCAATTGACATCAAAACTTTGTCCCTTTGAAAAGTTAAGGAAATAAGTAACCCTGAGCCAGCATTTAAACAATAATTTTCAGTTAAACAAAGGTTGAAGTTTAATTATATATATATAATGTATATATATTCTACGTATATTCAATTTAAAAAGAATTAATTTCAGATCACTTTAATACAATTTTGCAGTTGGTTGATCTAAAATGGAAAGTGGGTGTGGCCATGAGTTCAGATATATGTCGTAGTTTGAACAGTTCCTATGTTGCTATGGCGATCAAGGTTGCAGATCCATCAGGGAAGGTTACAAGTCATAAATTTGAGATGTCAGTTCAGCAATTCCAGGTAACAATACATCACTGTAGGTTTTCCTTAGCCTACAATTACTAGTCTGTATCAAGAAATTTGGGCACTTTCTCTTTAATGAAATTAGGCCAAAATATGTATGTAACAGAAGTCATTATTAAACCTCCATGACAAGACGTTGAGAGTATATAGGAACACCCCTGTACATATGTATGATCATACAGAAAAACAACGTCACTACTCTACACACCGCATTTCTCATCTAATAACACGAAACTCCACACACATGATTACAAACTTCAGTTCTTTTATGAGTTTGACTTTAAACTATGTGTGGTAAAAAACAAGGTCACCGTTACTATAAATAAAACTCAATAGAAATTTTCACGTCACCACTCTACAGCCTGCATTTCTAAACTGATTGATAAAAAACTCCATATATTGGTACAATGCTCCACACAAATGTTCACAAACATCACTCCTTGTGCAGGTCTGACTTCCATTCTTTTGCAGTCAGATACAAGGTCACTGTTCCTGTAAACAAAAACTAATAAGATTTTCATGTCATTGCTCTAAAGGCTCCATTGTATCAAAATTGTCACGGTTCATTTAGTTCTCTGATATCATTAACAATCAAAGTGAAAAAACAGTGGCCTTGCTTGCCTTCTGGTCAAATTATCTTAAAACACCAACTGCATTTTGATCCATGAAATAAGCACTTACCAACAGCAAATCACTTACCCATTATATTGGTTGTTTATTCACCATATCTACACCACAGACATTCACATCATCAAAACGGACACCATCTTCCAGTATTACACAGACCACACTGCCATATATATAGCATTTAAATAAAAGGTAAACAATTTTACTTATTTATAGTAACTGTAATCTAGATTTGCACTGCAGAAATTACTATTGCGTACTCTTACAAGAAATGATGTTTGTGAACACATGTAGGTTTCCTTTTACCATGACATACAAATTTGAGGTGCGAGTGTTTTTGTATTGTTTACGATGTCTTGTTTATTTCAATTCCTTTATTAGAATTTGAACTTATGGCCTCTGGTTTACTAGTCTTAATAATTTGAGCTAAATAAAAGATCTCTAGGCAAGCAGTGTGTTGTGACTAGTATTTAATAGGGTTACATATATATGTACTCCCTCTCTAGGATAGAATAGTGATGTCTGTAGGGCAACTTACATATTATTCCTGAGTCCATACCTGGGCACCACGGTAACAGAGGTTGTTATTCATTTCCATGCCTTCACTAAGATTTGAACCCAGGACCTCTGGTTAATTAGTCTTACTCCCTACTGATTGAGTGAAAGAGGAGATAACTCCAGTCGAGCAGTGTATTGTGACTAGTGTACTCCAGGGTTACATGTATACATATACATTGTAATAACAAATGTTTACATTTATATTTACTCTTAAACCCCTGAATATTTACCAAGGCTTCTATATATTTTTTTTAACAGAATTTTTCCAAGCAACTAAAGGATATTGCTAGTGCAATGGAAACAGTATGAAGATGTCACTTGATTCAGGGAATGGTGGTTGATCATAGAAAACTTTCCTCAGGGTCAGTACCAGCATGGAGGTCAGGAGCTTGAGCTGAATGTTCATTATACTGACTGATTGTATGGTTATTGTGAATCTCCAAATTTTTCAGAATTATCTGGTAGTAAAGTTTTATGTTATATGACACTAAGTATGATTCAGGAAACAAGCAAAACGTTGTATGGTACTGGACTAGTAAAGCTGAATGATCTGTTCAGGGCTTAAGAATGCTGTAAAAATTGTTGTTGAGGACCAAGATGACTTTTAGGTGACACTGAATCGATCTGATAGAACTGGAAGTTATTAATGATCTGTGTAAGGCCTGAAAATAAGAAGACACACAGGATGATACAGGCTGATCTCACTGAGAGCAAAGTAAATAAGAATTTGTTGTAGTTATCTGTTAATTGTTTTATAGCAGACATTTTCATCCTCACACAAATGTAAAACAATGCAGGAAGTTAAAAAAGGCCCTGTGTATGTACAAAAACAAATGATGCCAAAAATATTTCTTAGTGAAAAAATATTGTTCTATATATATTAAGTGATGCTTTATCTTTAAATAAAATAAATGTAGTTATTTCCTTTAAAACTGGAAATAGTCAAAAACATCTATTACACATTTTTAAAATTTTCATAACAAAACAAAAAACAAAGATAAAAAATCCAGGAAAATAATTGAAGCCTGAAATACTAAAAGTGTTGTTTTTCTACAGTTAAGGATGAAAAAGTTTTGTTTGCATGAATTGAATTTGTTAAGATTAAATACTCTGTGACTGATTTGAAAGTGATTTTACTAAGATGTATATGAATAGGTGTCCACCAGATATCATTATAACAGATTACTGAGAACTTTTATGCATCAGAGAAGTTTTGTGAATCATCAGATTTGCAAATTGTTTTAGCTTTTAGAATTCTTATAATTCAACATTATGCTTTGAATGTTTTTCTGTTAAACTGAAAGCACAGCTTGGTTTACTGGATTGACTATAATTCTAGTGTTGCTTCCAGAAAAACATTTTTGTCTGTTTAAATGGGTCAGGTGTGAAAAATGAAAAGAAATGTGTTGCAGTGATAACAATTGGAGGAGAAAGAAGGATGGAGTTCTTATCCAATTTTGTAATTTTTTACCTCTTGATCAGCTGGAAATGAGGATTTCAATTCAGGTACCTGTATTTACAAGCTTAAAGCAGGTGAAGTTTCATTATTACTTTGTCTGTGGACAGAAACTTTTGATTACATCCAAATGTCTTATGGATATTGTATTGCAGTAATTTAGGACAGAGTGCATGACTACAATTTGAAACCGTTTATCAATAATAGAAGGAAATTCTACTTTAATTCCTTGCTTTTAAAATCTATTTGTCACAGAGTATTAAATCTGTTTATTTATTTGTTGTAGTTTATTTATGTCATTTTTTATGATACATATCTTCAGTATCATTTGTTTCATTCATTATAATGTACCTGGATATACACAATTAATATTTATGTGAGGGAGTGTTAGGAAATATCTGATGGTCTTTGTTTATCAAAGTCATTTAAGTTATTTATCATGTATTCAAACTATGTTATATATAGGACAGAAATCTCCAGCAAACACAAATCATATCAATATTTTAAAACATGGAATAAGTTAGGAAGCTGATATTTAGCTAGAATAAACAGCTGGACATGCAGTCAGAAATCTTAGATAACCAAGGTGCGAATGTCATCAATATGTGGGTCACCAATGCAGAACTACTGTTTGTGTGCAAACTTTAAACATACATCTGTGTTGTTTATAAAAATTGCCAATTCTTCAAATTAAATGCTAAAAAATTGCAGTATTATGAAAAATTGAAATACTTCCCATCATAATTTTTATGTGTTTATGTAATATTAGACAGTATGGTGAAATGATTATAATTACCGATATATTTCATTACTTTTAGCTTAATTTTTCATAATTAATTATTTAGAGTGTTTATTTTTGATCTTCTGTCTAGATTGCTTTTACTGAAATCTTTCAAGAAATCTCACAATCATTAAAGAAGTATTTTTATTTACAAATAAAGTACTAGATCTTTATTTTTCTCTTGTGTATTTTTTACTATTTTGCACTTTCTCAACTGTTCATCATCTGACAGATCTGTGGAAGAACATGGAACATACACATTCTGAAAATCTGCATTATTAGATTTATTCATTCCTCAGGTAAAAGTAGCACTGTAGAAAAATCTTTGTCTAGTCAATATAGGAAACTTGACTGCTTTAATTACAGTATGAAATCCTGACAATTTACACAAGGGAGATAACTCTGCAATACTTCCTAGGATAACATTTGTGGACTACTAATAATGAAAGAAAATTCTAATAAAGTTTCAACCCTGCCATGTTAGAAATTGCTTTTCACTTGCCTGGTTATTCTTAATGTCTTATTTCTGATGAAGTTTGATATTTTTGTGGCCATTTATTGAGATGCAAGTGCCCTATATTAACCAGCTTGGTCGTCAGTCCGTCAGTCTGTTTGTCTGTCTGTCTGTCCATTTTTTATTTTCCTGTGGCTTCATATTCATTTAACTTCACATGGATGAAGTGAAATCTGTCAATAATTGAAAGAGTTATGGAACTTTGAATGACAAAAACATACTATGTCATTACTTTCCACATGATAAATTGTAGTTTTGAAGTCTGATGTTCTCCAAATATGGTCTGTGGATCAGTGAAATGTGAGAATGTTTGCAAGAGTTATGGGACTTAGAATGCCAAAAATACACCATTTTTATTACTTTCTGCACACTGTGCATTTGCTGTTGGATAATCACCAAATTTAGTATGTGGCTTTGTGTACACAAGACCTTGTAATAACCATTTGAACCTGTTGATATCTACAAGAGTTGTGGGACTTTGAACACAGAAAAATTTGAGATTTTCTGCCTTTCTGCACAATAACTTTCATGGTTTTATTCAGATTTCTACCTAGTTTGTGTGTTGTCTCCGATACCTGTGTGGGTGTAATAACCAGTGAAATCTGTCATATTTTGAAGACTTATGGGACTTTGAATGCTGAAAATTTTGCAATTTTTTGTCATTCTTTACAATAATTTCCTCAAGAGCTCAGAGGTATTCTTATAACTCTCAGCACTTATTTAAACAAGCTGCTGCATTCTGATTTCTAATAATTGTTGTAAAATAATCTTCATGCAAAGGCAAAATCTTGTTTGCGATAGCTTACAGATAGGGGCTTTCCTTGACATTGGTCAAGTTCCCAGCTATAAAAGTCATATTTTATATAACATTACATACATTACTTTGCATGACTGTCAGCAGGGGTTCCAATATTCATTTCCATCAAAAATGTGTGTAGATCTATGGAATATGTATCTAGATGTTTCTGTAGTGAAATGCTTTCCTTAAATTGTGAATTACATAATCAGAGATAGAGTAAAGGGAAGGTTGGTACTCAATATTGAGATTCTTGTAGGGCATCTGTATGTCAAACTACGTTGATGATCAGAGATACTGTTCAAATAAGGAATTTTCAGTTATATATTATACTATTAGAAATATTGTAATCATTGAGACTGATAAAAATGAAGGAAATCGCCTCCAGTTTCCAGTAGATTGTGACATATATCACCTTTTATCATTACAGTGGGTGATATTAAACATTAAATGTTATTGTCTGAAGAATGATGTCACTTAAAAAAGTCAATGGTGAGATACACAATACTTACAAGAGTTTGTGTTTGTGAATTCTTATCAAGGAGTACTGTGTATATGTGGCTAGATATTATGTAATGAAAGTTTGACAACGATGCCAGTGTAAATTGCCTTTTTCTGTGTGAAATGTGCATTGCCCTCTCCCCACTATTTCTGCCTTTTCCTGTGTGAAATGTCCATCACCCTCTCCCCACTATTTCTGCCTTTTCCTGTTTGAAATGTGCATCGCCCTCTCCCCACTATTTCTGCCTTTTCCTGTGTGAAATGTGCATCACCTTCTCCCCACTATTTCTGCCTTTTCCTGTCTGAAATGTGCATTGCCCTCTCCCCACTATTTCTGCCTTTTTCCGTCTGAAATGTCCATCACCCTCTCCCTACTATTTCAGCATTTTCCTGTCTGAAATGTCCATTGCCCTCTCAACCACTATTTCTCCTTATTCCTGTCTGAAATGTTCATCGCCCCCTCCCCACTATTTCTGCCTTTTCCAGTCTGAAATGTCCATCACCCTCTCCCCACTATTTCTGCCTTTTCCCGTCTGAAATGTTCATCACCCTCTCCCCGCTATTTCTACTTTTTCCTGTCTGAAATGTGCATCGCCCTCTCCCCACTATTTCTGCCTTTTCCAGTCTGAAATGTCCATCACCCTCTCACCACTATTTCTGCCTTTTCCCGTCTGAAATGTTCATCACCCTCTCCCCACTATTTCAGCATTTTCCTGTCTGAAATGTCCATTGCCCTCTCCCCACTATTTCTACTTTTTCCTGTCTGAAATGTTCATCGCCCCCTCCCCACTATTTCTGCCTTTTCCAGTCTGAAATGTCCATCACCCTCTCCCCACTATTTCTGCCTTTTCCCGTCTGAAATGTTCATCACCCTCTCCCCGCTATTTCTACTTTTTCCTGTCTGAAATGTGCATCACCCTCTCCCCACTATTTCTGCCTTTTCCAGTCTGAAATGTCCATCACCCTCTCCCCACTATTTCTGCCTTTTCCCGTCTGAAATGTTCATTACCCTCTCCCCGCTATTTCTACTTTTTCCTGTGTGAAATGTCCATTGCCCTCTCCCCACTATTTCTACTTTTTCCTGTCTGAAATGTTCATCGCCCTCTCCCCACTATTTCTACTTTTTCCCGTCTGAAATGTTCATCACCCTCTCCCCACTATTTATGCCTTTTCCCGTCTGAAATGTCCATCGCCCTCTCCCCACTATTTCTACTTTTTCCTGTCTGAAATGTTCATCACCCTCTCCCCGCTATTTCTGCCTTTTCCTGTCTGAAATGTCCATCGCCCTCTCCCCATTATTTCTTATAAGGCTCCCTACTTCAAATAGTATATAAAGATTATGTTGCTCAATGATTGTTTGTTAAAGGTTTAAGGACAGATCACACAGAGGTCAAGGACAGAAAGATGAAGATGTTGAAGGTTAAAGGTCAACCAAGCTATAGTGTAAAAGGTTGTACTTGTCTGTCCTGTACCATGTTCATTTCAATAGTAGATCAGGAAGCTTGATAAACTAAAAATTTAAAGAAAAAGACACATTTTGGTTGTGATTAAATTTTTGTTTTAAAATAACATTAATCTTGTACTTCTTGGCATTGATGTTTTAGTTGTTTGATTAATGAAATTAGCATACGTTATTAATTAAATCATTTCCAAAGGAAATCTCCATTGTATTTTACTCACCATTATATTGATACATGTATTTCTGTTCACAAGTCAATTACAGGTTTTAAAAAGCTATTTTTCTGCTGAATTCATATATATATCCCATTGCAGGCATTTTATTGAGAGGCACTTCATTCCTAGCATTCTGTTTAGAATCAATGTCACATACTGAGACCCTCTCAACAGATTAGGTTTATATTTACACTATCAGTATCATAACATCAACTTCTACACCTGATCTGATTCTGGTTTGCATAGGAGTATGGAACATTCATTTTTTGTAGAAATTTTCTAGTTTTCTTCTAAGTATATACAGTGCTAGGATGTTGATTGGAGGTGAAATTACCCATAAGGTTGTCAGAAGTATAGATAAACCCTTGTAATGAGTTTTAGTGGTGGACGAAGAGTTGTCGTTTATTGGAGAAATTAATTCAACAATTGTGTCAAGTAAATTTTTACCTGTCATACCTGGTGTATACAATGTATGTAGAAAATTCATACCATTATTTCTGTAATAAAAAAGTTAAAAGGTTAAAAAAGAATAGTGAAAGATCGTGCTGTTGTCCATTCATGCACTTCAGACTAAATTTACTTAAACAGGATCTTGATTACAAATGCCATGTTTACGAACTACACCTATCTTGGACTTGGTAGCAGTGGCACATATAGACAGCATAAAATTATACTTCAACTGACATTGATTTAATAAGCCTCGTTAATTAAGTAAAAAAAGCAGGCCATATTTACATAACACAGCCAAGCACGGGTCAGTGGAATCGTTACTAGAATTCTCTTTGGCTGTCAACACTTGTGTGATTTATTACAGACGTGTCCAAATGTCACTACAATTTGAAAGTTATATTAAGGCGGTTTAAAGTGTATACCTGTAGTGACGCAGTAGAAATAACACTGTACATATAATTTATGGGCTAATTAATTAACGAGGATTTTATGATGATTTATTTATTGTGGTGAAAACTTAATTTTACGTGTTTCATTAACTGTGTATGCAGACTGTTGTAGAGATTGCAAGACTTTAAGTAAGACGTAAACTTATGGGTCCATCTATAGTTTCTTCCCTGCATATGCATAGGTGGTATTCATCTATGTAGACTATACTTTGAACATTGTTAAGGTACAATGTTTATATACAAGACAACCTAAAGGAAGACAAATGATAATGTAGATTTTGTGTCACCATGTGTGATAAAAGTTTATCTTTGATCTTTGTTTTTATCAAAGATGAGAAAGAAAAACAAAATTACTTTTGATTAACATGATATAAAGGGGATTTTAGAGTTCCCTTTAATATCATGAAAATGGTTTTGTTATATTCTCAAAAATCTTGATTTAATTGTATTGGATGAAAATGTTAAGCAAAATGATAAAGTCAAATTATTGTGTTTGAAAAAACAAACGTGAGAAAACGTGGATTTATGACAATTTCACATGAAGATAGTGTTACCTGTTGAAGAAAAAGAAACATGGAGACAGACAACCTTTCTTAACACCTTAAGTTTAAAACAATGTCTGTTACACTGAGAACATGGAATCACTGTGTATAACATTTCAGGCATGATGGTATATACCAATATACCTATCAGAAACA